ATGTCGTACGTTACTGAGGTCTGACGTAAGTTATGAACAACAGAATATTTCTTTTTGGTCAAAACTTTAAGGATTCCAGTCACGGCTCTGTATGGCCGATGTAAAAGTACATTTGACCTTAAACGTAGGCCAGGTTGACAACCGTATTGTGTTGAAAAATTACACAGTAAGTATTTATTTCAACGTGATAGTTTCTACTGTTTGTTATGTATGTTTGATACGTCCTGCTTTAAGAGTGTTCTTAGTGGCTTTATAACATGACTAAGGACTATAATTCCCCCATTCATAATTTTGCTTTTATACTACAAAGGGATGTAGAGGGGAATAACAATCACTGGCATGTTTTATTTTGCTACTAAGGGGCAATAACCAGTGCTTCATTGTCCACTATGCCAGAAAGACTGTCCACCAAACATTTCTCTTTAGAAGCGTGAACAGACATGGTCACAACAACATATCAGAACCATTGGTTCTACTGACATCTTCTGGGATTCTGAATGTAAGCAACATGCACATAGACTTGAAAGAACCGTTTTCTGTCTACTTAGCAGCGGAACGGTGGTGTGAGGTTAGATCTAGCAGACACTTAATTGTGTATTCTGACAATTCTTGTACAAGACACAACATAAACAAAGGGGCATCTAGCAACAGACAACAAACGATACTTTCACACTACAGCAAGACACATCAATGGCAGGTATAATCTTAAAGCAGACATCACGTCTCCTTCATACATGGTTTGTTGGCAAGGTATTGGTTAATTTGTATGGACTGGTTCGAGGACAAGCCTTTGTGTTATTACAGTTCTATTGCATCTACTCAGGGACGCAACATAATACCTCCACTGCTTTACAAAATGACACCCTTTGCAGGGAATACCAAGAACACATAGCTCTGTGTAAAATCTTGTTACTCCCTTTTTTTTTAACACATTGACTTTTGTCAGCCGAGACGAAATCTGTCTTTGTATGCTGTTTTTAGCACACATTTTAGCGTCAATCGTCTCATTTAGAGCAAGGCATATACAATCCCCTGTCTGACGAGGATATAGACGGAATGTTGCTGACAATACACACAATATGTCATAACGCTCTCTAGTTCAACCTACACACAATATGTCATGCTGCTCTCTAGTTCAACCTACACACAATATGTCATGTAGCTCTCTGGTTCAACCTACACACAATATTTCATGCTGCTCTCTCGTTCAACCTACACACAATATGTCATGTAGCTCTCTGGTTCAACCTACACACAATATGTCATGTAGCTCTCTAGTTCAACCTACACACAATATGTCATGTAGCTCTCTAGTTCAACCTACACACAATATGTCATGCTGCTCTCTAGTTCAACCTACACACAATATGTCATGTAGATCTCTGGTCCAACCTACACACAATATGTCATGTACATGTAGCTCTCTCGTTCAACCTACACACAATATGTCATGTAGCTCTCTAGTTCAACCTATAAACAATATGTCATGTAGCTCTCTCGTTCAACCGACACACAATATGCCACTTTGATCTCGCGTTCAACCTACGAAACAAATGTCACGTTGCTCTCTTGTTCAGCTTACACACAATATGTCATGTAGCTCTCTGGTTCAACCTACACACAATATGTCATGCTGCTCTCTAGTTCAACCTACACACAATATGTCATGTAGCTCTCTGGTTCAACCTACACACAATATGTCATGTAGCTCAGTAGTTCAACCTTCACACAATATGTCATGTAGCTCTCTCGTTCAACCTACACACAATATGTCATGCTGCTCTCTAGTTCAACCTACACACAATATGTCATGTAGCTCTCTGGTTCAACCTACACACAATATGTCATGTAGCTCTCTGGTCCAACCTACAGAAAATATATCACGTACATGTAGCTCTCTCGTTGAACCTACACACAATATGTCATGTAGCTCTCTAGTTCAACCTACACACAATATGTCATGCTGCTCTCTAGTTCAACCTACACACAATATGTCATGTAGCTCACTGGTTCAACCCACAAACAATATGTCATGTAGCTCTCTAGTTCAACCTACACACAATATGTCATGTAGCTCTCTGGTTCAACCTACACACAATATGTCATGCTGCTCTCTAGTTCAACCTACACACAATTTGTCATGTAGCTCACTGGTTCAACCCACACACAATATGTCATGTAGCTCTCTAGTTCAACCTACACACAATATGTCATGTAGCTCTCTGGTTCAACCTACACACAATATGTCATGCTGCTCTCTAGTTCAACCTACACACAATATGTCATGTAGCTCTCTGGTCCAACCTACACACAATATGTCATGTACATGTAGCTTTCTCGTTCAACCTACACACAATATGTCATGTAGCTCTCTAGTTCAACCTACACACAATATGTCATGTAGCTCTCTAGTTCAACCTACACACAATATGTCATGCTGCTCTCTAGTTCAACCTTCAAACAATATGTCATGTAACTCTCTCGTTCAACCTACACACAATATGTCATGCTGCTCTCTAGTTCAACCTACACACAATATGTCATGCTGCTCTCTAGTTTAACCTACACACAATATGTCATGTAGCTCTCTGGTTCAACCTACACACAATATGTCATGTAGCTCTCTGGTTCAACCTACAAACAATATGTCATGCTGCTCTCTAGTTCAACCTACACACAATTTGTCATGTAGCTCACTGGTTCAACCTACACACAATATGTCATGTAGCTCTCTCGTTCAACCTGCACACAATATGTCATGTAGCTCTCTGGTTCAACTTACACACAATATGTCATGTAGCTCTCTAGTTTAACCTACACACAATATGTCATGTAGCTCTCTCGTTTAACCTGCACACAATATGTCATGTAGCTCTCTAGTTCAACCTACACACAATATGTCATGTAGCTCTCTAGTTCAACCTACACACAATATGTCATGCTGCTCTCTAGTTCAACCTACACACAATTTGTCATGTAGCTCACTGGTTCAACCTACACACAATATGTCATGTAGCTCTCTCGTTCAACCTGCACACAATATGTCATGTAGCTCTCTGGTTCAACTTACACACAATATGTCATGTAGCTCTCTAGTTTAACCTACACACAATATGTCATGTAGCTCTCTCGTTCAACCTGCACACAATATGTCATGTAGCTCTCTAGTTCAACCTACACACAATATGTCATGTAGCTCTCTCGTTCAACCTGCACACAATATGTCATGTAGCTGTCTGGTTCAACTTACACACAATATGTCATGTAGCTCTCTGGTTCAACTTACACACAATATGTCATGTAGCTCTCTAGTTTAACCTACACACAATATGTCATGTAGCTCACTGGTTCAATCGAAACACAATATGCCATGTAGCTCGCTAGATCAACCTACAAACAATATGTCAAGTTGGCCTCTGGTTCAACCTACATACAATATGTCATGTAGCTCTCTCGTTCAAATGTTATATTTGGGAGAACACTTTCTGAGTAAAGTAAAGATTCTTGTATATAACATTTGTTACATTTTTACCACTTTCTAAATGTCATCGTGTGTTCATAGCTTTCGGCCATGGGAGCCGTGCCAATTTACACATGTCAGAGGGTTATACAAATTACGTGATCTAGACTAACTGTTGTCGGACTTTCATTTTTGTGGAAGCCTCGGTGGCTGAGTGGGTTAGATCGCTGACTTTGTGTGCTGGCGATTAGGTGCCTCACTCCGGCAGTATGGGTTCGAATCCCGGACGGGACTCATATACTCCTTTTCAACTGGAAGTGCATAGAGTCAAGTCGAAATGAGTAAACTATTTTTGACTGACGAGATATGCCTTTGCCTACCCCGACGCTGCCTTCTGAAAATGGCAATACACAAGAAACATATGACAACAGCTAACAATTCTTCGTCAGTAGCATCCACCTTGGCAAGATAATTCCCACCAAAACTTTGACGGCCTGTAAAAAACTTTGATGAGTGTAAACAGTCCAACTTGGACCAAGAAAACTTGGTCAAAGTTTTCTTTAACCAAGGTTTTGATCAAAACTTTTGATAGTGTAAAGGGGGCTTAAGACACTACTTATTACTGTCTACAAACTGAAAAAGTTGAACGAATAATGTTGGATGATAAATAAAATGTCACCCTCGTGTGAGATTCTCTATATATCTCCTGATGGCTTCCAGGGGAGTAGGTCAGTCATCACTATCACGATAAGTTTATTTTCACAGTAATTGGGCCAGGCACAATATAGAATGTTCTACATTGAAATCCGTGAAATTAAGTCAGATGCTTGATTTATGCATTAAAGCCATTGAGGCCAATATGTACTTTCTTTAACTATCATAATGCGTTATCAGGGACATGTCTAACGTGACATCGAAGATAACGCTTTCTTATGTGTACCCTTGCTAATAATATCCCATAATCGTTTGTCAGCTGATACACTTCTGAACACTAATCAAAATATTCATGGATGCATTACTGAAATAATCTGTGCTTTGTTTTCTAAATGACATTTAAGTTGAACTGTCTTCAAGTGGCATTTCTAGTGACATCTGAATGAGGTCACCAACTACTGTCACTGGGCAGTTGGTCAGGATATTTAAAACCTTGAAATTTCGAATTTCTGAAACACAGATTCCTCAGAGTTAAGGCAAACGATTTCTGCCTTCCCTGAAACCAATGCAATTGTCATTATGTCCACATAGCATTAAATAGCAACCTTCGACTCAACAATCTTCTTGTAGCTCATGTCATGTAAGCTATTAAATAATATCATTTTGGTGAGGTATAAAACAATGATACCCATTCAATTTGTTCACATTGGAACAGATCACCTCAAAATAATTTTTTAACTACATTATTGGACAACATGTTCGCATAAGAACACATCCATGCACATGAGTTCATCGTTCCAACTAGAGGGTGACAAAGTGTATGAAGGCTGGCGCAAAACGTCCTCTGAGTGAATTGTACGTTTGATAATAATCCCCAAAAGACGAATTATTATGTACCTTTTTATTAACATTGCCCAACATAATCGCATACGATTATTATCAATATACGTCACAAAATACATTGTAGATCCATCTACAGGGTGACAAAGTGTATGAAGGGCGGTGCAGGACTTCCGCTAAGTTTGTTATACACGGCACACTTCTTCACATCACATGGCGATTCCTTCCACGCGTAGCGGATGCCACCAAGGTAGGGGTTGCTTGAGGTACACGCACCGTGGTAGTCAATTGTTACAGACGTTGAGTCTGAATGTGTGATTGAAGCAGCCTTCCACAGCTTAGAAGGGTAGGTCATTGGACAGAAGTTTCTGGTATCAGATATATCCTTCCTCGGGACACAACACACCTACACAGAAGAAAATATGGATAAAATAGAACATATGTTACAGGAGGTATTCCCAATTTTGACTTGTATCATATGTTCCCATGTTTTTTTCAGGTGAACAAATGCCTTGCATGTGCATGTGTTTGTGACAGATGCCACAGGTGGGGCAGGATACGCTCACATTTATGCGAACACCTGGTGTCATTTCTATTTGATAGTGAATCATAAACACATGCTCATGATATAGTCAGAATCGTACAATCGAATCGTTCATTTCGTTTGGATATGGAAAGCGTTTTGTCGCTTCATTTGCAGGTATGTTTCTGAATTGAAAATGTGTGAGAGCCCAATGAATATTTTGTTGATATTGTAAGGTTAATGTCTTGACATGATGTTGAAGTCGGAAAAGAGATAAAAGATCATTAAATGACGTGTTCACATTAATACCATAAAACATATCATAAACATGCAGATGAAGAATCATGAGAAAGTCTCCAGCAAATCGGTGAGGGTATGTGTGAGGATGCATGAATGTGTGCTACAATTTGACTGATATAACTGTATGAAAATGTATGTACACCTACCTCCTGTAACACTGCAAAACTGACATGGCAGCCATATTGAAACTCATATATCCACTAGTTGGTCAGTCACTTTTGTATGTATCGTTATAATATTCCATATACAGTACTTATGTGGAATGGCTAACAATCATACAGATTATTTTGCTCTGTATCATACTATTTGTCACAAGTTGAGTCTGTAACCTTTATGTACCACAGTGGCCCTCGTTATAGTTATGCATTTATCATTTGTATTGTATGAACATAATGTGAGGATGTCTGTTCAGTGGGGACGCCTGCTATATATTTCACTTTTCATTTTGTCCAGGCCTACCTTACCCTATTGGGGCGGTGGAGCCTTGTGGGTAAAGCACTGCTCGTCCGATTCTCAATATGGGTAGAATGGATATTCACAGCCATGATATTGCTGGAATTTGCTAAAAACGGCGTAAAACCCGTGGTTCGATGTCAGAGTGAACGAAGTCGGCGAACGTGAACCAATTAAGTTACCATTTACGACAAGCAATGGAGTTAATAGAACCAGTTCTAACCTAGTTCCCCAGTGAGTTTAATAATATTCACAGCCGTGATATTGTTGGAATTTTCTAAAAACGGCGTAAAACCACGGGGTTCGATGACAGAGTGAACGAAGTCGGCGAACGTGAACCAATTAAGTTACCATTTACGACAAGCAATGGAGTTCATGGACCCAGTTCTAGCCTAGTTCCCAAGAGAGTTTAATAACCCTACTGCTCTTGTGATATCTGGAGTTGTAAGTTATCTTCTTTTTGGTATTTTGTAAGAGCAAACTATCATGTGTGTCAGTTTTCAACATAGTCAGAAATGACATGTACCATGACTGAAAGTCAGTTTCAGCCAAAATAGATAGCATAGCACTTTTGTATGAAAAAGTGCCAGTATCCGTTAACGTGTTATAAATTAGATAGTCGTTGGCAGCCTAATGTCTTCTACTGGATTATGTAACTGATCTTGATATGGGTAGGTATAAACAAGGACATATGGAGTAAACGACCAGTCAGCTCAAGGTTCTACTACACCAAATCAGAACCAGTTTGGACAGCCTTCAGTGCAGATCGAGAGATATCTGCAGGCTGTGATTGGAGGATATTCTGTAAGATTTTTATGTCTTTCAAATGTACATCCATCCAGTTATTAAAACTGACCATGTTTTTCTATATTTAGTACGGTCTTTTTCAACATGATGACTTATGGTGAATGTGACCACAGCTATTTTCAAGTAGGTGACATTTGGTGCGAAACTGGGGGTGGTGTGTTTAGCTTCCTGTACTCGGAAAAGGAGCTGGCTAAGCTAGTTATTTTTTATTTATTTATTGCTGCTCTAAGGCCAAACTGTGCACACACGTACAGGTAATAGCTGTTGAATGCTTAGTTATTTAAAAAAAATATATAACGTTACTATAGAAGTCTATGGGAAAATTTGGTTGTGTGTAACCTCAAGGCATGTGTACAACAGATAGAATCAAATATTACATTGTATTGTAATCGGAAAGAGACGCTTAAAAGCAATGCATATTTCCATGTCTGCATTCTTATAACATATCTTTCCAAGGACAAATTCCATGAGTGACTTCCAAGAGGAACAATTTAAGACGTTTTAGACACCAGACACCCATAATACTGTCATTATAGTTTTTGATCTCATAATAATTCAATTTAATAGTGTGTATTCGCTAGTATGGGTATGACCATATCATACAATTACACAATGTGAGACAAAGGAAACAACGAAGTTTTATAAGTGGTTTAATTTGTCATAGCCCATTGCATCAAGCTGATGTGTTTAATAGTTTGACAGCACATGGGAATCTTGTTATAAAGTAACAAATCTAAACTTTTAGATCTGTTTACCCTTGTATTGTTAGTGGGCATATGATTTTACAATACCTTTAGGACATTGCTCTAAATCATACATTGTGAATGATACTTTTATGCTTATTACAGCGATACGTTTGTCTAGATTGCTTTTATTTTATCTATCAATCTTATTTTGAATTGAGTCTGTGATGTTACCTTGCCATTTAACAGTGAATGTTTGTAATGAATGAATAATTTGTTCAGGGCGCATTATCGCTGAAACCTAGTCGATGCAACATAGCATGTCAAGTCGCTCTTAAAAGGCGAAACTGACGTACCTCAAATCCATTGTTATTTCTTTTTTCAATGGTTGCCTTTGTGTTTGCATATGAAATTTGTACTGTTTTCCTGTCCACCACTTCTGTAAATCCCGTTGGGAAAGGTCCTCGTTGGTTCAGCATGCCAGTTCTTTTGTAAGCTACTATCATGGCCTCGATGTACAGTCTTTCTGCGATGTCTGCCTTGTTTCTTGGATGGATGCTGCAAACAAACCTTGCAATTGTATCTGTAATACTCCCATATATACTATTAAGGGAATGATTTTGTCACTATGAAATAAAAGCTAACAGAACGCATATCTGTAACATATATTTTGGCAACCAAACCATAAATTTGAACAGTGAAAGAACTTGGATATCAGTGGGGGTTTTAAAAACGCTTTTGGGAACGATATCATTTGGCACATGTTGATGTGGATGGCTTCACGCGTTCAACTGTTTGTAATTGAATTGTTTATACACGTCTATTTGACAGCTCGATAATTTGTAAATGTTCACGACTCATTTAACATACGCATATGATTGACCGAACTAATGTTATTTGGATATGAATCTATATTTTGGAACTCTATTCTATTACAGGTCCTTAATGCAGTAAATGCCTTTGACAATATTAGAGAAACCGCTTACTTTATTGCTCTCACAATGGCATAGAGCCTGGTCTTATGTCGGGGTTAAGGATGTATAATAACTCGTTTGATATACTTCTCCTTAGATAATGATGTGCGAATGTGAAGTATTTAAAAACTGGTCTCAATTCACGTTCCATGTCTATATAGTCATGGGACACAATACTACAGGACAGGTTGATAGCTGCGATAAATGCCGTTGTTTCTGTGAACACAAGTTGCTACGTAACAGTTTAACATAACAGCCATTTGGTATTTTAGTTTAACTGTCATAAAATATGTTTTAAAGAGATAACTATTATTGACTATTGTATTTATGGGATGATCATTTACCTTCCATGTGGTGATTTGTAATCCGGCAGGTCCATGGCCACCGCCATGAAGGTGTTCTTCATCCTGTCGTTAGGGACATAGCCATAGTCAGCTGTCTGGTGCCACCTCAAAATACCCCATCCAGAATTGACATTCCAGTTTCTGAACCCAGCTAGCTGAAGATAAATAAACATGATGTGTTGAAATGTATAAGTAATTGTTTTAAGAGGCAAAAAAGTGGGAGTGATATTGCGATAAAACATATTTCTTCAAGCAGGGTGAAGGGGGAACAGGTAGCCCAGTCGTCTAAGTTGCTGTGCAGAGTTGCGTCCCTTGGGCACGCCAGAAACCTATGGTTGTGGGTTCGAATCCCGGTTCGACCCCATTATGTTTCTAGGTTTGTCAGCACCATCTGTTTGTTTCACAGAAGTGGTAAACGTCTCGGACCTGCAACATTTCGGGCTTTCCTCTGACATTAAGCTGACACGCCGTGATACAACTGGAATAATGTTTAAAGCGGCGTCAAACCCAACTCACTCGTTGACTAATTCCAGCAGAGTGAACTATCTGGAGAAAAGTTCTTGCAACGTCATTAAAACTACAATGGAAAACGATACGGAACATCATTGTTAAAAAATGTCATGGAGGAAAACAGGAAAGCAAAATTCACGTGCATGTTATGGTCTTTCGTAACTTGTGGTAGTGGCTATAAAAAGGCAAGCCTAAGCCAATAATTTGTCATTCAAATGTCAACATTTTTCAAGTTCGAAAATGCCGAGACTCAGCGCTGCCGATCGGAACATCGCCATAGGACGTTTCCAAAAAGTTATCTGTTGCACGTCACTTCAACGTCCACCACAACACCATTTGCCGCCTTTGTGACCGACAACCACACTGCAGACCGTCCGAGAACCGGCCGACAAAGAGTTTCCATCCCTGCATAGAATCGCTACATTCGACTGTTCCACCTGTGTCATCGCAATGCCACAGCTACGGAGACTGCAGGACGCATCCCTGGTTTGAGGAGGATATCGTACCAGACTGTTAGGAACCATCTTCGAGAGGCTGGAATCCGACCCAGAAGACCAGTTATCGTCACTGTTTTGCAACAGATCTATCGACAGCGACGCTTGCGTTAGTGCCATACCTTACAGCCTTGGAATTTGAGAAGCTGGAGACGAGTATGGTTTACGATGAATCACGATTTCTTCTTCACCGGCGAGATGGAGGACAACGTGTTTATCGTCATCGAAATGAGCAATTTGCTCCACATTGTGTACGTGAATATGACAATTTCGTGGCGGTAGTGTCATGGTGTGGGGGCCCATATCCTACAACACGAGATCTGACAGCAAATCGCTACATGAATCAAATTCTTCAACCACACCTTCTTCCAATCATTGACCACCAGAGGGAGCTGTTTCAACAGGACAACGCTCCATCGCACACATCTTGTGTCACGGTAGACTACCTTCATAATGCCAACATCAACGTTTTGCACTGGCCGTCGTGATCTCCAGATCTCAACTCAATCGAACACCTCTGGGATGAACTCGATCGACGTGTACGTCAACGTCAGAACACGCCGCAGACACTCCCACAACTGGCAAACGCCTTACAAGCAGAATGGCGGAGAATTCCGCAGGACAGAATTCGTACACTTATCCAGTCAGTGACGAGGATATGCAGAGCCGTGATTGCTGCTCGTGGCGGCCACACGAGATACCGAGTTCAGCGCAACCTTGTGGCCTTATGTGACATGACAATGAACAGTTTTCAATGCCTTTGTACAACGACAACAAGTGACTATCGAGCTCCAAAAGGTCATATTTGTATCTATGATATTAAAGTAAGTATATCGAAATATATTGAAATGTTTTCTATCAGGAGTAATTTTAATAATCTCACAGTCGTTTACAGCCTGACAATTCTCAAGCACACTATCATAAATGCTTTTATCTGACTATCGGTACAACTATCCATGCTTTTCTTGAAACATATCATGTGTGTATATATATATATATATATATATATATATATATATAAGTAATACATGCTATATTTATATCACAAGAAATGTACATCCATGTAACGTATGTTCACTACAATTGATTAAACCTACTGTACAACCTTGGAACCTGATGTACAACCCTTTGAAATTAAAAAAAGATGTAAAAAAAAAGATTCTCAAGCACACGCCACCGAGGAAGCAGTGTAGGTAATCTAGCATAGATACCATACTGGTTGAAAGGAAAAATGCTCTAGTCACCCCAAATATATACAACTGCTACGTCTACTTATATAAGAGAGATAAAGCGCAGAGACATAAAGTGATTAGTGATTGCAGTGATATGGTATGGGCCCTTATTTACCCACAGGATCTGCACTAGTGTGTTGCTGATAGGTCATTCAAGGATTGAAACCAAGGACCAGCGGAACTTAAATCGGATGTCTACGTGTGCACCCTACTAAGTGAATATGTCATTTTAGTCCATAATGTTTTAGTTTGAAAGTATGTTCTTGTTTACCTGTACGAATCCAAAGGGAAACATATTGGACGTTTGGCCGCCGGTAGCTTCTGAAAACTTTTTTCTCCAATCATCTATCAGAGCTGGGAATGTGCATTTGTATCTGTCAAGTCCTTTGGCGGGGTTGCTGTTTGATTCACCTGTGAAATATTGAAATTATTGAAACAGATACAATTTGAGTCGTGGGATTTCTCTCCTGCTTACTCAATATATTTAGGCCACCCTGTTTTACATGTCTGATGCACTGATGAATTAATTTGAACGATAATCCCCATTTTGGATTTTAATCAACATACCTCCATTTGAATCACTTATATAAAACAAAGTTCCAGAAATCTTTTTTGCTATATTCCCGTATTCACTTCATCGTAAAATAATTATATGCATATATTATACATACATAATACACCTGTTAATTTAAATTTTATTTTTATGTGGTGTTTAACGCCGCACTATTCAATCAATATGAGGACGACCTGAAATTAATCGCATATCGGGTAGATAAACCATTCATGTGCTAAATAATTCTATTATGCTTTGGATAATGTTGCAACACTTAAAGTTTACCTTGATACCAGATAGCGCCATATATAGTTGTATGCAAAAGAGGATACACCATTGAATTCCAAAGACTGGAATACGTGTCATGTTCCACAGCTCCATTCTTGTACGTGGGCCTGTAATGTTGTGATGAAATGAATCAGGATCTGTGCCACGATGACACATATTTCAAAGTATACTGGTAATATATCCAATTATATGTTATACCACCGATGGGACATATGAGCGGAGGAAAGCCCAATACTACGCATTTCAAAATACGCATAAAAGTAATCCTAGTGATGGTTTGGGACAGATCCCACCCACGAGGAAAATCCTTCATACGAGCCTGCTTTAATATCATTGGAAGCTAGTGCAGTGAAATAATAAAATGTTTTTCTGATTGTAAGACAAGTCATACTATCTGAGCGGTAGAATATCACAGCGTACAGTGCTTGCACCGACCATGACACCAACATTTTGAAAGAAATATGTAACGAATTTTGTTGGTTTTACCAATGAAGTTTCGTCTGTAAAACAAAAAGTTTTCATGCTCACGCTGGTATCTGATTTTTATTGAGGCATTTGGACAGGGCATCTGGAGAGGACCAGGCTTCATCTATAGTTCCTCCGTCTGATGTTGCTATCAACCCAATGGGGTACTTCAATGTGTTGTAGAGATGCTTGCCATACAGCCAACACACTGCGGAGAATTTTACCCAATCCGTGCCTCCCACCGAGTCTAAACACAATCAACAATATTAATATAAGTGAATGAGAGTTAAAATCGGACAAAAAGTGTTTCTTTTTTATACAAAACCGGCAAGAGGCTCATCCCCAGCTGAATCACCCCTAATACTATCTTGTGTAGTATGCTTCAAAATGTATCTGCTAGTGACCCTAGATACTTTAATAACAACAGTTTTTGCACTTTCGGTTTTATTGACATTCCTTGGGATTGTAAGACAAATGTTCAATGCAGTACAACTACAAAACAGAAATTCGCATGTCTCAACAACCTAAATGTGAAAGATCTACTCACTTCCGGTCTAATGACCGTGACCTCCAAAATAACCTTCAGCTATTTCAAAATCGCTAATCAAGACTAATTGGTGTTATTACTATTGCAAAGTCACTGTAACATATTGTAATTATTGTCTGATCATTACCGTGAACGAGTCTTTGGGTGTGTGTATGACCTTATATATGTATTGGAATTAGCGTTGATAATGTATTATTAATGTCTGAAAATGTTCCTCGTTCTCGTCAATTAAATCGAGTACGTCATGGTGACAAAAGTGTGTCTGATGAATTTGACACGTGCATCCTACAAATCGTGCAAATATAATATTATTAAAAGTCAAAGATAACTACCAAATTCAACACATTGGATGTCCAGTTCATTCTTCTCTGAATGAAGCTATTCACATATGATTAATGCGTGAATGACTTTCAAAGAGTCATTGATAGTGCGCATAAGGTTTGTACTTATAGATAGTTTATCTATACCTTATCGTCACTGATTTGACAATGTTTCTCACATTTAACCGAATTGTAATGACATTGGCCATGCAGAGGGATCACTATGGACATTGGCCCGTATACTGAGATTATTTTTACAATCCACGATAGTTTTAATTTCTATGTTTTCTTAACACTTTGTGTATACATCCTGCAAATGTTGAACTGGATGTGTTTAAAGAGTATAACTCAAAACTTGCTTTAGATATGCACAAATTTCAAGGTGTGGAGACATTTACGTGTACATCAAAGTAGTAAGGTGTATATTACTGTTTCGGTAATTTTAACCAATTCTCCTTTATCTAGCCGATTTAGACCTCATTACAAGGCCGAGTGTTATTAACCTCCTGAGTAATATAGTGTAGTCTATATGAAAGGACTGTTTCGATTAGTTTGCTGCGTTCCAAACACATATATCATCATTGTCATACTGATCCCTATTCGCAGGTGAATTAAGAAGCTCTGCATCACTGGTCACAACAAAGTAGGTTCTATTTTCTACTTACGCCGAGAAGCTACAGACCAGCTTTGAAACAGTCCATGAAAGTCTGTTTCCGGTTTAAGAGATGTATGATGCAACACTGTCATCAGACGAATGTGTGGGTAATGATCGGCGTCGTTGATCTCGGCAGTTGCATTGAAAGCCTACAAATATAACATTTAACATGAACCAGCCCTTTTACAATGACCGATCAAAAGACTTCATTGATGGATAGACCAGTTTCACCATACGATATATAATTGGAAGTGCTCTTACTGAAACTAAGACGAATCATAAAAAAAAACATATTGTGAAAACTTTCTAGAAAAGTAACGTCTGTAAACCCACATCACACACGCATTTGGTGTTGTTTAACGTCCTCGGGGATATATCCCAGCTATATGACGGAAGACTATAAATAATCGAGTCAGGAACATCAAGGTCGGATGACTTGCAATCAACCAAACCATAAAACTAGACCATCCAATCCATGAAGTCGTTTCTTATGACTAGAAAGGTACAAAATACTTGAAAAAACCCAGAAGCATTCTCCTTTCGGTCACGTCCAAGAACTAATTAGATGTACTTCCTGTGTGATACAACGACACATCATATAAAGGTACCTTGCCTCTAGCAACATAATGATGAACCTGAAGGCATGTCCATTGTAATGACATCACTTCAGGTCTGGGTAACCGAAAACGGTTCCAGTAAAAGACATCACTTCCAGTTGGGTTGCTGTTTGACAAAATGACTTCACTCGCGGTCTTGGACGCAAGGCTAATGTAGTACAGAAACTCAAATGCCTATAGTTACCATAATAATAAGGCTATCTGCGCTCCCGGTTTAATGACCCGGTATCGCAATTTCAGCTTATCTCCAACTTGAGTATCTCTAGTCTTTGCAAGAAAGTAGGTGCAGTCACAATTTGCACGAAGTATTTATGAATGACCTTCACTGCCACTCACGACCTATTGCGATCTCAGCCCCGTCCTAAAAAGGATACTGTTAAAAGCGGCGTTAAACCCAACTCACTCACTCACCCCTAAAAAGGATATATACAACGTGACCCACAGTAAGTTCTTCTCGAACGGTAACCATGCATGTTAAGGATATTAAGCGCATGGAAGCGCGTATTCATTGTCCTTGTAAAACAGAACGACCTGACGGATGAAATGGTGCTGACAAAACTCACCATGCTCATTGTGAATTGCATATTGCTCTGGCCAGAACACACCCACACGTCACCAAACAGGACATCGGACAGAGTTAGCTTCCCTTCCCTCGATGTAACTGTAATAGTGTATGGTCCACCGGCACTGATTGGCGGAAGCTGCGCATACCATACAACATCGCCGTTATCTCCGTGTCGTGTTGTTGTTGTCACTGATCCCTTCCCGGAAATGTGGACCGTGACAGTTTCACCCACATTTGATGCAAACCCCCAAATTGTTGATTTTTTGGGTGCTTGTTGCAATACCATATGGTTAGCGTAGGACTTCGAGAACCCGAACCTAGCCTCCACTGACAATGAAATGAAAACAAAATCATATGAAAATCAAAAATAGCGTAACGGCACTGTAGCTCACCTGGAAATGTAGTCAGCAGTATAATAATAGGACAGAGACTTCACAAAAGACATGGATGTTCAAATATTTTCTACTGAAATACCGAGTAAAACACACGCCTAGAATCTGATATCATCATTAGGAGAATCATACATGCATAATCATTCATAACATTATGGATGTAAGCCACTCTCTCAGATGCAAATGTTTATTTGTACAAAACACTCCTGTACATTATTGATTGATTGATTGATTGATTGATTGATTGATTGATTGATTGATTGATTGATTGATTGATTGATTGATTGATTGATTGATTGGTTGAAGTTTATCAAATTCAGAAGATATTACATAACCTAACATTTAAGAGCATGGTCTAAACAAAGTCAAAATTTGATTAAAAAAAACTACCACGGATTTGTGTTAAATGCCATTACATTTTGAACTTGTAAGTCCTAGTAATGTCCACAAACACCTTTCAACTAGAGACGTGTTTTCGACAACAGAAGCAACCCCAAACTCATTACATATCAGCAAGCATTTCCACTGTGTTAACATTACCGTTTGTTTGTGAAATGCATGCCTACAAAAACCTTGGAACAGATGGAAAATAACGCCTCTCTAGCCGTCATAATGATGAACCTAATTGCGGTTTCACATTAATGACATAACTTCATGTTTAATGGCTTCACTTCGGTTTGAGAAAATACATTAAAACCGTAGGCGCATATAAATTTCTTATCTATGTCGTTAAGTAGAAACAGGAGGCATTTTGCTTGAAATGCCCAGTGCAGCTGGAATGAAAGCTAATAATAATATCACTATCACTTCAACGGGGGATATGCATGTGATTCTGTTTCTGTACTTAAAAGACCAGGGTGCCTTTGACACGTAAATTACTTTTGCTTCGTCCATGGTGATTAGTAGTCGAGGAATAGACAGCTGACTTGTCGTTTGTGACATTGTGAAGCAATAACATTGGTCTCTTAGCTGGAATATGATTTAGAAGACGAGTGCCATAGTAGGATCTTTAAATAATACATATATTCGCACAATAGTCAGATTCAGTTTATTCAGAATTCCAGGCCACCTGACCCATAGTACATCATATATGTCTAACATTTATAGGTGTATCTTAATATCTCCTTTGATACAAAAGTTTGACTACTTAAGCAATTTCTGTGAGGTGAGGTGAAATGGGGTTTAACGTCGCTTCCAAGATTATTGCACTTATATAGCGACGTGCATGCACGTGTATGTGTGTGTGCGGCTGCTTGTACTAGTCCGGACTGATGCCGATTTATAGTGCTAGCTCACTGATATACCATGCCGCAGTTTAACATGAACACAGTATACTGACTCCGAGACGACCAGTCCTTGTTTTAGCCCCTTAATGCCGAGCGTCAGACAGGGTAACAACAAGTACCATCTTTTAACGTCTTTTGGTATGACGCGGCTGGGGATCGAACCTTCCGCTCTCCGGGCGGACGCTCTACCACTAGACCACGGAGGCGGTCCAAATTCTGTGAATTTCTAGATGTACATAAGTTTGCTACGGCCAGTGTAGAATTAGCATTATCTCAGCTGTATAGTCTTGCAAGTACAAATTACGTTCTACTGCATAACATGGGCAATAAGATAATTCAAGACTTTCATTTTCTATCACTAAACAGGCTTTACACAAGACTTCAGGATCACATAATTCACATTTACCTTTATGGAAGTTTTGTATACCAAGAGATTTGTATGTTTATGAACTCCGAAATAAGCAAAATATACAACTTGCCTTCGAAACTAACCAGCGATATGAACACCAGCGCCAGTAGGTTGACCATGACTAGGTGCTCCATTGTTACTGGGATATCAGGGTAGTATCTCTGCTTTTATACACTTCCAGAAATAGCTTATCCTTTTTCAGCTGTTTCACACACATAAAACCTCAGATAAGTTCGCATTTCGTACTTTCTCCTCAAAAACGGAGTAGAGAAATCTAGTTTACGGAAAGTATTACGATAAGGGAAACTGGGTCAATAACGTATCATGGGTACACCCATCCTCGTATCTGGGTCATAGGAGCAGATTCCAAATTCAATTTATCCAGCGAACCTGCTTGAAGAAGTTGAATGGATCTTACAAAACGCCACATTTAGCAAGTGTAATTTTGTTTCAAACTGCAATTGTTAATCTGTACCTCTATATTATTTACTTAATCGAGTCGGGTTGAGAATATAGCCCTATCAACCTATACTGGATGGTAAGGATCGGAGTACATGTATTAATATCAGGTCTCCGTAATACAGCTAGGATATTGCCGAGTGCAGCATTTAGCAATGAACGAACAAACTACAGATGGGTTAACTTCGCCTGGAACTAACTAACTAACTAACTAACTAACTAACTAACTAACTAACTAACTAACTAACTAACTAACTAACTAACTAACTAACTAACCCGACAATATCCTTTCCATATCCAATAGATATCTCTGCATAAAGCAGAGTCGATAGTAAGATTCCGACTATATCGTTAGCATGTGTTTATGAATCACTACACAATTGTAATGATATCAGGCGTTTGCGAAAAAGTGATCGTATCCTGCCCCAACGTTGGCACCTGTCACGAAAACATGTAAAGGCAAGTCAATTGTTCACCTAAGAAACACGGGAACATATGGTACAAGTCAAAATAGGGAATTGAATCGGTCATAATATTTGTCACTGATGCGTCAAATTTGGAAATGTCCTCCACATGTCTACCATAAATGTTTCGAAAGCTGTACTTGTATGCCTTGAATGTTGTAACCTTGATCAAACAACTCTGAGCAAGAGTCGTATGACGCTCTTTGAAATCTTGGTGGAAAGAGCGTGCTCGATTGTATCTCTAAAGTTGTAAAATGTAAACACCAAAGGCTGGAGCTGCTGGAATATTGCTCGACATGAAGGGGAAATTGACTATTGGAAAGTTGAAGTTATCCTTCTTGTCATACAGTCTTGTGGAGAGTGTTTTGTCACTCTGAATCTATATGCATAGATCTAAATATGAAACAGATGAGATCCACCTAAACAGATTCCATTAGGTGTAAAAGGTAACAAAGACGTGAAAATCAAAGAATGGATCACTGAAGCAATGAGTTGGTGTATAAGGCATACGTAGGTAAAACCATCTCCTCGATGCCACAAAATTACCAGCTTGTCTACCAATCCATCTGCAGTGCCAATGGTCATCTGAAATAGACCTACACAAATGTTGTTCTAGGTACCTGCCTGCCCATGAATTATTGTTTTATTTTCTGCAAAGTAGATACAATTTATGGATAACACGTTCTTTATTTACTGTAAAGGCGACGTTTCGGTATAGATCCTTCTACCGTTGTCAATCAGTGGTAATGAACATGGTACAGGATGTATATAGGACTTTGAGGATTAACAGAATGTGATATCACACAGTGCGTGCTGTATCTCTCTCACAGACACAACAGTGGTAGCCTTGGTTCGTACACACATTGGTGCGATGTCACACTGATGTGAACCAAATGCCTTGAAGGTTTTAAACGTCACCTCCATACTGATAAAAAAATGTGAACATGTCAGTGACTACAATTAGAATGTTTGGCACATTATTCGAAACAGGGTGTCAACACTTTAGACTTGCAAAATCCTCTTAGACAAAATTTATTAGTATAAATAAGAATTTCTAGATTATATATATAATAAAAACAAGTTGCCCCTATAAGAGACCGGGGTTCTTAGATTGTACTGTCCGCTTTAATATCTTATATTGCCCATTGTAAGGATAGAAGTGCTAGTGAGTGAATATGGTTTTACTCCGCTTTTCAGCACGAGTCAAGCAATATCACGACCGGTGACACCAGAAATTGGTTTCATATATTGAACCCATGTTGGGAATCGAACCCGGATCTTCGGCGTGACGAGCGAACGCTTTAACCACTAGAGTACCCCACCGATCCGATAGAATTACTATACACCCATCGACTTATCATTCAGTATAGGATAGGAACAAGGCTATCAACAGTTATACAACACATTATCTCCGCCATTAAACAACGGGTATGATATTTGTCTATTGCTTCATTTCAAAACTGTGACATAGTGACATACATTATAATGTGAGATAGAGAGGATCCCGACAATCGAGTCAGCAAATATTCATGTCATGTTTGTATGTTCTTCAACTCTGCATTCCACAACAGCCCAGTTATATGACGGCTGCCTGTAAAAAATTGAGTCTGGGCTAGTGGTTGATAATGTGAGCAACGATCCATGCCGTCGGGGTTCGATGACACGCAGTCAACTCAGACATGCAGTCAACTCAGACACGCAGTCAACTCAGACGCGCAGTCAACTCAGACACGCAGTCAACTCAGACACGCAGTCAACTCAGACATGCAGTCAACTCAGACACGCAGTCAACTCAGACACGCAGTCAACTCAGACACGCAGTCAACTCAGACACGCAGTCAACTCCAACACCATGCATGGGTTGCTGGTATCTAGGGATCCATACCGCGTATTCGTATTATAATAGTAGTGGGAAGTAGCGCCAAACTACAAATTAGTGTTAGAAGATATATTCATGTTACGAAAATGTTTATAGCCCAAAATGCCGAGCAAGAAGAAAACAAAACGCAAGTAGCAAGTGCGCTTGTATATTTGTAGGCGCTGCTCCATAACTGATACAAGTATTACAGGTGTCAGTCACATGTAATAGACACTTGCTATGTTTGCTGTAAACCTTTGTCGTTGTTTGAACTGCTTTACGGCTTCAATAGAACAAGCCCCCAACATGTTGTATTACAGGTGTCAGTCATATGTAATAGACACTTGATATGTTTGCTGTAAACCTTTGTCCTTGTTTGAACTGCTTTACGGCTTCAATAGAATAAGCCCCCCACATGTTGTATTACAGGTGTTGTCGGCAATACCATCGGGTGGACAGGTAAATGATTATACAGCATACAAGTAATTCAACTTTAAGCCTTGATGTGCGGTACTAGCAGTAGCAGCTGGTCTACCAGTCCATCTGCAGTGCCAATGGTCATCTGAAATAGACCTACATAAATGTTGTTCTAGGTACCTGCCTGCCCATGAATTATTGTTTTATTTTCTGCAAAGTAGATACAATTTATGGATAACACGTTCTTTATTTACTGTAAAGGCGACGTTTCGGTATAGATCCTTCTACCGTTGTCAATCAATGGTAATGAACATGGTACAGGATATATATAGGACTTGGAGGATTAAAAGTAATAACAATTGCATACAAGAGAGATATTAACATGAGAAGGTTAGGTAACGACACCAGAAGGATGATACTGTAATAGCATGATGGACAGAGAACACATGATGAGAAAGCCAATGAGACAGGAAGCCAATCGAGCAGGATTAAGTGTACATAAGTGGGGTGATTATTACTTAATGAGTTTATAGTAGGCAGATGGGATGAAATACCCTTGGTCTCTGTTGATTGCTGGCTTGTGGCGGCGAATATGGACTGCTTCTGTTAGTTTATTCAGTTTATTGTCTAAACAGTGCAGTGGCTACAGCTAAAAGATTAGGAAGTTGACTATCAACTTCTACAAAGGAAATGCCCTTGTGCACAGAACAGCAATCTGTTGCCTCAATCCATGGGGATTACGGGTATGCCTGTCATACAAGGTGACCAAATGGATCGGGAAGGCAGGCCCCTTGGCTTGGTTGGTCGATTGCATGTTATCGTTCCAAGACGACGTGGGAGGTTGCACATACTATCAACCACTGGTTTTTTTTGGTCTGGAGTATTCACAGGCTGACTTGATAAAGTTTGGTCTTGCTGACTGTGGCGTTGAAAAATAAATAAACACATATTATGATGCGGTTTGTCCAAGGCTTGCTAAGGATGAGCTTTGATCAAGGACGGAATAGCAATCACGACATACTGTCCTGTAAAAGGAATTCGTGTGTCTGACAAAATATTCCCATGTCCTTGGCCGTAGTAAGATAGGGGGTAAGATAGGAACGTCGACCTGACCTGCTTTTTTACTTAGCAATATGCCTTTATACTCTGTGGAGTGCAGTTAGGGTGGCAACGGTGAACAAGGCTGACTGACACGATACCTCTCTGCGTGAAGGGTTATGAACCAGAAAACACAACCTAATATTGACTGTTTTTTTTTGCCATGGCTGAGGAGACTCGCCATGGTAAAGAGTGAGTGAGTATGGTTTTACGCAGCTTTAAGCAATATTCCAACAGTATCACGGCGCGGGACACAGAAATGGGCTTCACACATTGTACCCATATCGGGAATCGAACCCAGGTCTTCGGCGTGACGAGCGAACGCTTTAACCGCAAGGCTACCCGACCACCACCACCATCCCCCATCCCCCTCCCCATGGCAAAGAAACCTTGTCAAGACGAAATAATAAATATATGTGCCTATTTGCATATTATTATGACCAAGATTACATCACTACAGCACAGATTAACTTGCTGACCTATCAAACAGGGCTCTGTGGCCTTGACATGGTGTAACGCACACATGCTACGTCCGTGGCCAAGCCAGATGTTGACGTCAGCCATTTATGGCCAGATGACAGTAAAGGCAAAAGATTACAAATTGAATGTATTTATCGGCGACATATCGTGTACAATGATGTTTTGATTCCTTACGTTGTTTTGTTTATTTGTCTTGGAATAGACATAAGTTTGTGTTTTTTCTGTGTGGGCCGCGAGTTATTATTCACAAAACAACACAGACTGTGTAAGGATAAGATTTATGGATGAGCAACTTCTTCATTACAATTAAGCGCGACGTTTCGGTGTAGGATTCACGCCGTTATCAAGCAAGTGTTGTCACTTGCTTGATAACGGTGTTAGAACCTTCAACGGAACGTGACGCTTAATTGTAATAAAGACGTTGCTCATCCATACATCTTAT